GGTTTTAACGCCAAGAGCTTTTCTGGCTGAAAGCTTGCAGTTTCCAGTTGTTTGTCTGATCTTCTAATGAAACAATAAAGCAGACTGAAAAGGGGTGTGAAACATCAGTTCAACATTGATACGGACATTTCAGTGTGGGAAAATCTCCCATAGCTGCTCTCTGCCTAACACCATCTTAAATTTAACTTACCCCTCTGCTTGACTTACTTTCGTTGTATCTCTTCTTTCATACTAGTAAACAACAATGTATTTTGATCATATTCCTCCCTGTGGAAAGCAATGCCTTCCCAATGAATTTCTGGCTCCCATTAAAATAAAGAAACAAATGAGAAGAAACACATTTATGTTATAGTGAAGTAGAAATAATCCAAGTGCAAGATCCCTTTTCTCACTACTTTTGTGTTGAGAAGTGCAAGGACTAAATGGGCTTAGCGTTTGTCTGGTTTCACGGCAGCCTTTAAGTTTTGAATCACCCGGTAAAACATGGCCTTCTTTTTATGGGGTTATTCAATGAATCACACTTAAAACCCTAATATGCAGAGAGAACTCCCAGAACATGTTTCCTCTTCAGTAACAGAAATCAGAAATAAAAACATTTGCCTGCTAGAGGGAATGGAAGAAACCACCATCCTGAGCCAATGTGTGCAAAATGACTCCATTAGGATCTGCCGTTGTTTATTCCCCCCAGATTTAATGGTCTGCCTGGCAAGTTAATATGCTGAGGGCGTCACCTCCAAGGCATGAATCCACCCAGAGACCTTACCCACGCAGCAAAAAGCAGTCTTAAAAGAAAATATCAAGATTTTTTTCTGCAGAGTCAGGAGCAAGGTGTCCAGGCATCTACATAAATGGCTTAATATAATTATATAAACTGAGGAATGAGAAAGAAAAATTCTCAAGGTGTCTGTCCAGAAGAATCATACCTCAGTAACGTAGTTGGCTTCTTGTTGTTGTTGTTGTTAACAAAAAAACAGGAAGGAAATCCATTTCTAAAATGAGCTCTCTGAGCACTGGATGTCTCTAAAAAGGAGTTTCCAGAAACAAGTAACATGAATGCTCCATAAATCTCAGCTTCTCTCTACAAATAAAATATTTCCTTCAAAAAGAGGCACTATGGTTTCAGGCATATGCTCCTTCTGTACTTCCATACCACTGAGCCTTCAACTTGAAGTCTCGGGTGGGGAACTCAGTGAAGTTCGTTATTAACCATATATCTGACCTGGCAGCTCACAGATTCAACCAGTCCAGACTCTGTGGACAGCCTCAGGATTATCCAGCAGTAAACCTAGATATTTTGAGGTTTTTGCTTTGTTTGGATGCATCTAAAGGTTACAAAGATAAAGGAGATGGTACCTCTAGGCTCCTTTATTGATTTCACAATAAGAACTATCCAAGCAAGGCATTTCTTGTTGTGATCCTGCAGTCTGATCTGCATGCATAGCATCCCGTTAGAGTCAATGAGAGTTCACAAAGGAGCAGCTCTACCAGCAGTTCCTTAATGCAAAACAGTCACTGCCAAAGAACAGCAAAAAACAAACAAACAAAAATTTCTCTAGTATCTGTTTCAAAATTCAGTACTCACTGTCCACAAGTTACCATGAAAGACAAGAATGCTCAACAGCAGGCAACATTGATCCCTACCTTGTCATTATTTCAGCTATATAGGAAAACAGCAAGATAGAAATAAGTATCTCTGAAATAAAGCGTGTTGTTTCAAGTATGGACAATGCCTGTAATGGAAGACAAATAAGAGAGTATTTGAAAAAATGAATGCTGAAGAATGAAAAAAAATCTCAAAATTGAGCAACACTTGACAGTTCCAGTACCTTTAGAAATTCTTCTTAAAGATTAATGTACTGCATGGACTAAAAATGTTATAGGGAAAAAGCTAGTTCCTTTTCAGTTCTAGCAAGCCAGTCTATGAATAAATAACGGCCTGAGCTTATATACCCTCTTCAATATATGCTACAGGTAAAAGCTTAAGTATGCTGGGACAGAATTGAGAGATTAAATAAGTGATTTGAGGGGAAGTGATGGACAGCATCAAAGAAAGATGTGCAGTTTGGAAATAGGACAGAGTTATTTTCCTTGGACAGTCCATCCTGAAAAGCTTTAGTACAAGCCACCAACACTCATATGGAAGATAAAGAGTGCCTACACAGATACTTTAGGGATAAACTGATGATCATTAAGAAAGAATTGACTGGCAGGTTTCAGTAAACATGAAAGTTCGCCTTCAGCTTCCTAAGAAGGTTTACAAAAACACAGACAAGGCAAAAGTATGCTATAGTTCTTCACAGTATTTTACAAGGAGCAATAGACACCACTTTACAATGGCTCTCTTAGCCAGATTTCCTGAGAAGCCTGCCTTTCTGAACGAGGGTAAGATGATCGATGCATGCCAGAACCATCTGTGGTTCAGAAAGGAAATAACTCTTCTGCTGCTCTTGGAATGTTTGGTTGGATTTCCGCACAAGAGACTCCAGAGACAGGAGTTGGAATTTTTTTTCTTTTTTTTTTTTTTTCTTGGGGGAGGGAAGAGGAGGAAGGTGGTTGCTTGTATGTGTTTTTTTCCTCAAAGAGCCCTGACCTCCAGCAACATTTCCTGGTTTTATTCCTAGAATTTAGGCAAGACGGAAACACTGCATAAAGCTACACATCAGCATGTTAGAGAGATCTAATTCACATGTAAACACTGTGTAAGGGTATCTGGATGTAGAAGGAATGTGAGGAACTCTATATTAAAAACAAAGCCATCTTTATTCACTGGGGAAAGGAAAGCTATAAAGGAGAAATTCAAATGTACTAAGAATTGCAATTGAAGAAACAACAAAACCAGATTTTCTTGACAATATAGTCATTATCAATGCCATTTCAGCTACACTTTTATTGTAATGTGCACATCGTTATGTGCTACAGCCTCAGAAAGTACCCTGTTGATCTAATAAATAAAAATAAATACAACATGAAGCAAAATTTCTGCTATAAATCCAAACTGAAGTAAATAGAGTATCCTGGTACACATCTCTGGACTTGAAGTTCATTAAGATGGAGCTTACAATATTTCAGTTGGACAATCCATATTCAGGAAAATCTCAACATAAATGTACCTTTTCCAAACCTTCAGTTGATTTCTGGGGAATTAAAAACCACAATGATTCCACAACTGCTTACACAATGAAAATTTTATATATGAGAAAGGCCAAAAAGTCCACCCCGAGTTCCTAGAACCATGTGATAGGAGATAAAAAAATCAAAATAAAATGCATGCTAAATGATTGAAAGCTAGGTTTACACTGAAAACCTAATCTGATCACATACCTGTTAATTTTACAAAAGTTCCTGATATTCCCCAAAACCTCTGAATGGAAAGATAGTTTTAGAAGTAGTACAATTTCACAGAAGTCCTCAGGAAGCTTCACTCAGTCTCTTAGTAGGGATTCAAACTCTGGCTTGCTCTCCTGATGTATTTTCTATTTCACCCTGGGACTTTTCACACAGGCAGGCTTTACCTTTCCTTACAAATATTTTTCTTTCAAAATACAAATCAACATTCCCAAATACTTAGAACAAGTATGCTTTCAGGTACAAGGCTGTAAATTTAATGTCAGCACTTAGCCCCAGTTCACACTGAACACGTACTGACCTTTCTTTACTTTCTTCGAACCACAAGGGCTCTTTACAAAGGTTCTCACACAACTGGGAAACATCAAGCCAAATTCTGCCATCACCATGTGTTCAATTAAGAGCACTTGTCTGCAGCAGTTTGGCATCAGATTTATGCTAGTTTAACAGAGCAAATCCTGTCCTTGGCATAATCAAGAGTTCTAAGAAAGAGAACTGCATTTCCCAGTAGCAACAGGCAGGCTGAACCTGAAAGAGAACAGACTTTAATTACTGTATTTCAGATTCAGAATTATCTGTCAAGAACTGGGAAGAGATACCCTTAATAAAAAGTTATTCAGGGTATTTAAGTGGACTAAAATAAATTAAGCCAAGTTTATTTCTAATGATCACTGAATTCTGCAGATTGCCTTCTGCCCCAGGAACATCAGCCTTTCTGCAATTACTGTTTTCCTGCTGGAGGCTATGTTCAGAATCTTTGAGATTGCACTGTACTTCCTCATTTGCTATTTAATTTCTTCATAGATCTAGATACTGCTTTTAGTAGTCTGGATATTGAAGCTTGGTCAGTACTGAAACATACAGCATACTGAATTATTATACTTCTTTCAAAGGAAGAATTCTTTTACTAGGTACCATGCACAAGTTTTTCCACAAATTATATTTGACAGGTTTGGTCATCATATTGAACACATTACTGAAGCTTAAAAACTCCAAAAGACAAATACCAACTTGATTTTATTTCTGAATGACAGTCAATTCATAGCATAAGATATGCATTGTGTTCAGGAGATGCTACAATACACAGGATCTTCAAAAGATGAAAATCCAAAAGGAGATTAGCTGAGCTTTCCCCCATGGTCCAGTATGACCCTGTAGAGCAGTATTTTACAGAGGGCAGCTCTGAAAGTGGCATTTTCATTTAGTGCAACTCAAAGCCTGCATGACAGATGCAAGTAACTAACGCTTTTTAAAAAGCAGCAAAGCAATTTATATGACAGTGTTGCAGAGCAGTGATGGGACTTAGAGTGAAGTAGGAATTTTGGAACATAGGACCTTAACCTGGAGAATCCCAACCTAAATCTACACAGGTCCATTCATATTTAGATTCCACTGCTATCAGGTGTCTTTGTGGAAAAGTCCATACATTTAAATCTCAAGGTAATGTTAGGAATCAAGTTTTAAGCCAGTAAAGCAGTTGCTGGTGATCTTGGTCTGCCTTCACATAGACTTACAACTTGGGTGTAATGCAAATGTCTTGGAATTAACAGGCTTTGAGACAAGTATTTAGATATGGAACCCAACTAACTTTATTATTCCTAGCATCCAGCCATTTTAACAATTCTTCCTTGTTAGCACGGACAAGGAAGCCCTTTTCAAGTTTGAGAACAAAGAAATGAAATTACAAAAGACCAATCTCGCTGGTGTGCCAAATGAGAACAATCACAATAGAACAAGTCCAAGTGTCCTGTCATCATTCCTATTTATATGGATTTTCGGTGTAATCCTCCCCAATACTTATTATTTCCATAAAAGGGTAGACTAAAAAGTAAAAACTGTATACATAATAAACAAATTAAAAAAAAAAAATCAAAGCACATTCCCAGATTTTCAAAGTGTTTCACACAAATTATATAGACTACTAGTAAAACAAATCAACGTGTTTGCTTCCTAATTTTTTTCCCCTCAATCAAATTCTATTTTCCTACCGTTCACTTACTGATGCGCCAACCCATAAAAATCTTTGACTGTAATAAGAAAGTAAGGTAATTGGCAAGATTATGCATTTAGATGTTATTTTATCGGTACTGCAATGCAATCATCCCCTCTTCTCTTAAGTCCTTGCAATTTATTATTCAAGGACACCACAGACTAATGGTCCTAGTTAACAGAAAGAAGTCTTCATACTAAGCTGAGAAAGAGAAGTCCAGTAAGAGCTATTGAGACTTTCTGAAGCAGATAAAACATTGTTTTGAACAAGATAAAACACAGTATTTCACAACATAAGATTCGCAGTTGTGTCAACAATAACAAAAAACCCAAGCTTCCTCCAACTTGGTCTTAAGATTTCATGTAGGCCCAATAAATAGATATTTTCAAAGTGTTTTACAACAAAGCCCTAACTTGAGACCATATCAATTTAAAGTACAGGTGGACACCAGTTTCCCTCATCAGACCCCACATGGCACAGTCCACTGGTCCATGGAGTTTTGTTACCCAGCCTTCCAAGCAGCAAGCCAGGGTTCACAGGATTGAGTTGGAGGCGGCCAGAACTGGCAGATGGAAAACCACAATAAAACTAGGGTTTTTTTCTCAGCTGTGCCCCTCCCAAACCACACTGCCCTACCTGGGAATTAGGTAATGATGAATGCTCAGATGAATCCAGAGGACTGTCTGAATACCTCTGCCCAGCTCTCCTTTTTAATATTTACTTAATGTACAGGGTTACATGGTCAAACCATCTCCATAAAGAGCTCTTAATAACCCTAACACCAGGCTTCCAGCCAGGAGACTGATCATTTTCATTAAGACCCAAAGAAAACAAGATGAGTTGGGAATGCTGCATTCTGATCAAAGGTATCTAATGCAGTGACATTCCCTAGCACAAAGCATTTGCAATCCAAAAGCAATAGGCTTTCTAGCCAGCCAGAGAATTGTATTTCTGATTTTGTATTAACTAGTCCCTGTTCGTAGCAGAAAATATCTCTGTAGTAATTCAATAAAAAAAGTTCAAGTAAGTCCCAGTAGTCAAACCACATGTGTATTGCCCGCTAATGCCCATGCTAAGGAGAATACATTTGTCTCAACAGAAGGTATGTTCAGAAGAATAACACTCATCTTGCTCTATTAACTTAAGTCAAACTTTCTACATTGCATTAGTAACTGAAGAGACTAAATAAAGAGGTAACAGCAGCATGGGGAGTCATATCAAGACATGGTCCAAAAGATTGTATCTTTTAAACTGAAGAATTAAAAAAAAATTTTAAAAAAAGAGCCTACTCTGGAACTCTTCTTTGTAGCCTATTCCTTTAGGACATGAAGACAAACCATTTTCAGAATACGCCAAATTTTAGATGGTCTTTAAGGCACCATTTGCAACATTTATGGAAAAGGACGTGAAAACAAAGTGTATTGCAATATATTAATACAGCTGGGAAAGTCTAATTGAATGTGAGGTTGTAAGAGTTATCTCCCTTTTTCTTCTCCTTTTGCAGGGCTTCTCTCATTCCATTTGACCTCATGTTCCATCCCCAGAGGAATTACATCAAGACTGGATCCCCAATGCCATGGTCTGGGTTGCACGTAAAGGAGATGGTGACGGCATAGCGAGTGCCCCAGTGAACCTTTTCTACCCGATGAAGGTTCTCTGATCCAGAGGTGAAAAAGGAAACCCGGCCTGTAAAGACAAAATATATTTAATCAGTGACATGGAGTTTGCCACTTGGCTATCAGCTCCCTGCACAGTTTTGCTGTTGTCTCAGTCCAGCTGTTCCCTAGCTACCTGAGAGCCCGTAGGTCAAAGACAAACTGTTATGAGCTTATGCTGCACTCTGACAGCTTTATGTACTGTTTAAAACGTACGTTAATCCTTTGTGCTACAAAGCTGGAGACATAATTCCACCGTAACTCATAGTTTATAAAAGGCAGGAGGAAGCCAAGAACATTTGAAGCCAGTTCTTAGTTGCCTCAATTAAAAAAAGGAAAAAAGCAACTCTGCTGACTGTCAGCAAAGTGTATTGATTTCCTCCCTGCTCCCCTTCTAGTCTGGGCTCTAATTTTAGACCAAAGAAGGAGGAAGTACTACAAAGGTGGCCAAAAGTCTTCAGTGAAAAAAATGCTCAGCAGGTTTACAAACAGCTGTGGCAGCTTATCAGCATTATACCCAGTATTTGCTATAGCTTTTTGCGTGCAGTCTGATCACTCACTGTTGAGCCAGGTTAGAAAGTTAGGTATCAGTCATATACAAATTAATTTTCCTTATAAGGAATGACTCCATCAATGCATTGGCTTGGAAATTGTTGCAAGTGCTTACTCCTGTGCTTCATCCTGTCCAAGCTTTGACCACCACCTTGCCTTAGGGTTCTCCAAGCCTTAAGTGGCATCAAGGTGAAATGCAGTTACTTTGATAATGACAGTGGAGATACATTAGCATCCCACTTGATGAAACAGCAGAATGGAGCTCTCTGCACTTTCACATTATTAAACTGTTCTGAGAATGTAAAAGTTTGATGTTGGCATGTAACTCAGAACTGACGCAACTCTGTAGGACTGCTGAAGTTCTCCTGAGAAAGCTAGTAATACTCATGCACAACTGTTTTATCCCAATGGCATGTGGTTTTCCTACTCAGGCTTTTTTTCCATTGTTCCAAGTTAGATTAAAGTTTTTAAAGAGCTTATCATAGGGAACTCATATTGACAATCTAACTCTGCCTGGGACTCATTCACAATCAGGCAAAATGAAACACTTGGATGCCTACTTAAAATCTGAACAACAAGATAAACTATTCCAACCATTACACAATCTCCACCACAGAACTGGGCACCAGACACATAGCTGGTTTTCTCTTCTAAAAGTGATCCAAAAGATCCAGAAGTTATTTTGCTTACATACTCCTAAACAGCACACATGGGAGATTTGAACAAAACTAGACTGGCCTTATAGAGCTTGGTTTACTCACTAATCTCTGAAGTCTATTTAAGTAGCCTCTGTGTCCCTTGCATGTTCAGTTGCAGTTCACATTTAATCTTTCATAGTTCACAGAGTCTTTCATAACTGCCAAGCAGAAGTCATATCATACTTTTCTCTGCCTGTGGCTGCACATTAATAATTGGTAAAGCTATATATAAAGAATAGATTTGTTCATATGCACAGCTCATTTACACCTTGGTGTCCTGCTTTTCTGGATGAAAGACTAAATGAAGGCAATGCACTCCTATCCTACAAGTGTTGCAATGAACAGCACTACCCTCAAGAATTTCATACAAAGTCCCTGTGCCATGATTTTTTTTTTTCTTTTAAATCTTATTTCAACATCATTCACATACTTTATTATCAATCCCTCACCTACTCGCCCAAAGCTTTGCCTTAAACTGATTTTCAAGCTTTTTTGTTTGATCTCTTATTAGAAGTAGTAGTAAATGGAGTTAGACAAGTTTCAGTGTATTAAGGCAGTTAAACTGGATTTTTTTTGGCTATACAGAATGTCTTTTAATTTCTTTCTTTAATAAATATGTCTTCATATATATGGTATCTTACAGCTCCTTGTGCATCTGGTCCCATATCTGTCAAATGGGGTCTCCGAGTCACTGAACAAGCCTACAGTCAGTTTGCAAAGATACTTCTTCCTCACTTGCGAAGAATTGCTTTTCAACTTTGCAAAATTTTGAAGCAAAAGCACATTCTTTCCATGGTACGCTATTTTTAATAGTATAAATGTTCAAAAAGAGAGTAAAAAAATGTTACTTCCCATCCCATCTGACAAAACCTTCAAGGGATATATGGCAATATCATTATCCAGAGACTTCTGGAGAAAGACACAAGATAAAATAAAGCTGTACCATTACTGGATAGGATGACTTCTAGGACTTTCAAGCACACCAAGACTGGACTCTTCATAATCTTGCTTCAATACACAGTATATGGAAACCACTTCAAAAATTAAATCACTACAAGAAAGCAAGCAGGTCAGGACTATGAAAATTCCTTAAGGAAGTGTGGACCTAATCCTAGGTTATAACCTGTCCTTGTTCTAGCTATTTTTTGATCAGTTTTGAGTTAAGATTTTAAACCCCAAAGTTTCAAACTATGAATCATATTAGCAAGTTAGTAGGGTCATATGCAATATGGGTCTGGGTTTAGCTGTGAGATTGCATTCAAAGTGTCTAAAGTGCACTTTTTAAAGTGTTACACACTGCTACAACTAATGTAGCTGTGATAGGATTTCTCTGATTGTGAATGATGAGGAAGACATGCATAGGGCAGTTCCACTAAGCTCTCCAGACTATGAAATATTGATAGAGTGAATGCTGAGCTTCATAAGAGATTAGTGTTGTACTGCAAATGCTAAAGAACGGCTATGCAACTACTCATTGCAGATAAAAAGTACATATGTACTTAAAATTTCCTGATGAAACACTTTTGAGCGACAAAAGCTCAGGAGAAAGTGTGTAAAATTCTAATCCCATTTCCTTTGTCCTTTTCTTTCATTATTGAGCAATGGCCTCAAATCAGTCTTTTCATTTTCTTCTCCCCTCCTCTGACCTGCCTGCACAGATTTCCTTCCCACATGCTTTTCTGCTCCACTAAAGAAATCTTGACTACTACCTCCTGGCACATAATTTGTTTGATTTATGAACACTTACTGTTAGAAGTGTAAGCTTTTTTGAGATCACAAGCTCCTACTCAATACAATTTTTTAGTATATTATATAACCTAAAAAAGAAAGTGTTTAATCCCTGATCCTTAAGGGATGAACTTTTGGAGATGAAGAAAGAGCGATGGGATCATCTCCTGTTTTGAGGCCCATGCTTCTAAGCTTTCAGAAAGAGGCCAGTCTCTGACCTGTGTTCTAAAGGATGAAGATTAGAAGGGAGGTGTCCTGGGGTTAGAAGTAATGCCAAGGGTAAAAAACAAAGGATTTGGTTTTTTTCCAGTGAGATGAATCTATAGTCTGAACAGTATTTCATCCTGATTGTGAATTTTTGACTCATTTTCCCAAATCACTGCAAGGTGCCAAAAACTCCATTGCTTCTTCAGTTTCACAATACTTTGACAAGTACCTCAACCTCAGGGAAGAGTTTTAGATCCATAAATCACAAGGAACCATGGGCTGCCCTCTCACACCTCCTGTCTATCATCTCCTCCTCACCTCCGCTTTCCATTCCACAAGAAGTCAATCAGGCAGAGCATACCACAGCAATTAGTGCAGCACACCAGAGCATTTAGCACTTTTAACACTTGGACCCCAGTATTAGATAAAAATACTCACATTTTGTAGATACTTCTATCAATGATCTTTCCTCTTTTCTGCCCACAAACACCTAAAATTTCTTTATAGCTGTTCCCAACGGGCTTCACGATTTCCATCAGGTTGTCTAGTAATAGGGGAGTGAGCTGTATTCCAGCCTAGTTCCCATGGAAGAGTGCAACAGTGGACTGGAGGAAGTTCCTCCCACACACATGTACTTGTTCTCACCTTTCTTATTAGAAGAGCAAAAAACCAAAGAATTGGAAAGATTCATGGTAACCTCAAGACCTGCAGGAGCCTGTTTCTAAATTATTAGCTTGCCTGCATATCTCCAGAGGAACAGAATTAATCAATCATTGCCATTGATCTCTATTTGACAATACCTGAATCTACAGCTTGTTTTCTCTTCCTTCCCATTTTTGCTCGTACTTTCCAGCATTAAGTGCTAGGAAGTGTGTTTCAAGACACAGTTTGGCCCAATAAAAGCTTAGCTTCTGTTCCTTGCAGATTGCAGAAAGTGTTACTGTGAAACAGTTGCTCCCTTTTCTAGTTCCCAGATAAGCCTCCAGCTCTGCCTCTGTACTAAGATTAGTCAAGAGTTTCATCCACAGCTGGAGCTACTTCCAGTCTCTTCTTTCTGTGGCCCGTACGTATCCACGCAAGTTTTAAAAACTTAAGAGTAAGCAAAGGATAAATTGTATTGGGGATGAAAGAACTACTGTCACGGAAAACTCAGGTGCAAGCTCATTTAAATATGCCACGCTCACAGTCACCTAGGACAGGAGCTGCTAACAAGCTCAGCACCACAGCATCCATCAAAACTGAGCCTGGTCTTCGGTGTCACTGACACAAGTCATGTTCTTAAATGCTGTCAGGCTGAGAAAAGCTTGTGATGCAACCAACAGGAAAGGTCTTGCTCCTCTTACAGGAAGCAAGACCTTAATTGTATTGGAGGTAACCACATTCTCCTGATTTTCTGAGGATCAATTTTTGCACTTGTATGTCTTCATAAATATTCCTGTGGACAAGTGCCAGTCACAAGCTCCACTGCTATGAATTTTATGTGATCCTAATTTAGATGAAGCAACACTGTTGTTTTCAGGAATAATACATAAGCAGCAAAAGCAACAGATATTTCACTATGCAGCAATTATGACCCATTATAATTACTCAAACAAAACCACTAGAGGAATATATGTATTAACTATGAGCTTTTGCTTTTCCCTGCTTTTGCTTTCCCAGGTTTTAATCTCATTCATAATTGCCCCATAGCAATGAATTCTTTTTAGATGTACTCAGAAAATATAATCACTGCAAGAAGCGGCATAGAGGTGGGAAAGAATTATGCATTCAGCTACATTTCACAGTAAAAACGCCAGTATTCCCATAAGACTTACTCTCAGGAGATTTTATCCATGTTGAATTTTAA